AGATGATTTGAAATTTCAATATTTATAAATAATGGATTTGCACTCATATAAACTTAATTTTTTATAAATAATGAATTTACGCTCAAACTGAACTTCGATTGCCTGACTATAAGTAAAGGATGTTGCTTTGCTTTGAAATGCAATATTTATATAAAATGTCTTTTGGGATCCGTGATTATATGTATATCAGGTTTGTCACGAAATGATGCTTTACTTATCACTCATTGAGTATTTGTTCCTCATTTACAATGAATTTAAAAAAATGGATTATTTATGAATAAGGGGAAAAAACGGCATGAATTTGGCCTAAATAATAAATTTACAAACTGCGCCCCATATTCGATTCGAAACATTTGTAGTTTTTGGAATTTTTATAAGGACTAGTGCAGTGAATTGCGAAAGGAACGTTACAGCGGTTACCACTAACACGCGCCCTCGAAGGGTTTTTTCTCTCTGTTGAACCTGAGTTTTCGTGGACGTTAATCAACTATTTCCATGGTTTTCCACGCGCACTGACAGAGAAGGTTCCCTCATCGCTGAATGAAGGGCGAAGGCTTACAAGGATAATTTCGAATGACGACGGCGTTTTTAATTATTTCATTAAGATGAAGGATTACATTGTTTAAACAACGAGGTCTCTGCGAGCTGAGTGAAATAGCTGAAACGTTCTCTATAGTTAACGTAAAGGTTTTCAGGTTGTTTATTTATTTGATTGTATCAAAACACGGGAGCCGTGGACGAATTGCCAAGCAGTATGAATTCAAAGAAACGAAAGATATCACACCGACAAGGGAAAAAGATTCCTCTGAATGGAGGCTGTTTTCGAAAATGAATTTTGTAACCTTCAGATCTACTTATCATTCTTCATGTTATCGAATAGAATCCAGAACTAGCAAGAACTCAGACAAGCTGTGAGGGTGTATTGAGAAAGCTTATTAATTCGTGGTTGTAACTTACAGTACGTGTGTTAATTTGTCGATAATTTGACTTTCTTGTGACACACTCACATTCGTTCTCCTTGTAATCTTGACATGAAGCGGTGTCATATCCTATGGAAAATATTGCAAAAACGGCTTAAACGCCGACATATTCTTCCGGAAAAGAATCCTTTCTAGGCCAACGCGTAAAAACCATGGTAACGGTTTATTGACGACCACCAAAACGCAGGTTTGAGCCCAATAAAAAACCCTTTGAGGGTGCGTGTTAGTAGTAGCCGCTGTAAAGGATTTGGGCTTGTTATCTACAGCTTTGAGAAGCTTACTGAACAGCTTAGAGCGGAACTGTCAAGAAAAGAAAAGGAGATCGAGCAGATGAAAACAAGGTACTTGTCACATTAAGTTGTAAGAGAGAAATGTATTGAATAATACTCCCCCGAGATTTGATGCTATACCATCGCTAGTTTCTTCCCATCCCCCCAGTCCTCCAACATAAACCCTATTGAGACCGTGAGGACTTTTGAGGCCCACCTGGCTAAAAAAATTGAATATCTGCAAAACATTTTAAGCTATGAGCACCAAACGTAGCGACTTTTACTAATATTTATCTCAAAACATTTTAAAGTCGTTGTGACTTAAGCATTGACGTTAATATGGCAACTAATTTCTGGCATCTATGTTTTTCAAAATTTGCATTTATTCTAAATAAAATGACTTTTATTTCTATTTTTAGAAATTAAATCCTTATATTACACTTAATTTAGCACTTTTTTTTATCAAGCAAGAGAGATCAAAGCTTGTTAGTGACTAGTTTGAGAAAAAACATAAGTTTTACATGACCAAACGGCAGCTCCTGAGTTTAATTTTCAGTAGTGTTCATTTCTCTCGAAATTTCACATTTGCAGGTTATTTTTCTCCCTTAGTATCCTTTTATACCCAGAACAAGTTTTCTGTTAGGAATACCTCGATTTATACAGGTTTTGAGTAAAATGGAATACATGTAAATAATTCAAAATGGCGGATCCAGAATGGCGGATGTTTCCAGTTCCTTTTTAGAAGTAAATTACGTCATGACATCACTGCTATTGTTAAAGGTTATTTGTGCGTTTGCCAAATTCTTGATTTTATCAAACACCTTACTATTAATTAATAAGTATTTCCCGCTTTATGGCTACTTTGAGACAACTTCGGATTCTACTAATAAATTTAACAATATAATGACGTCAAACTACGTAATTTTGTCAATCACGTTAAGCCCAGAAGTCGTAAATGATGAGTACATTGTTCTTTGTAATTTTTGTTGGCGAACATAAACACTTTTGAGGTTAAAGAGAGGGGCCTCCAAGACTCAAAAGAGTCCAATTCACTTACCATTAAGCTGGTGCAGTGCGCGCTTGCCATTGCAAACTGTTCACCCTGACAGTATTCGCCTACCACGCAGTTCACATTATATGAACCTTTTAAACGTTGGTTCGGGTCTGTTTTGTTTGTTGTCGAAATTGTCTTTCGGTTTCGATATGCTCTGCTGGATGACTAGTGTTATGTTGATGTGTTCGAAAACTAATTTTCTATGTAGTTTCAGCCTTGCCGCTTTGTTTTTTACTGTTCCAATTCCTTTTTAAACGGATCCTCTGTTGTTCCCGAAGTTTAAGAGATTAGTATTCCACTTAAGGGGGAAAATATGATACAGCCAGCTCTTCGTTCTCCGTCGTCAATAAGTGCACCCTTGTTAGGGACGCCACCTTAAAATTTTACTTGGGAAAGAGCTTCGGATTTCGGGCGGATCTCTTGTAACCAGGTTTTCAGGCTTGAGGATCGCAAATGGTTTTTGATTAGGTTGTCTCTCACAACAACCGTTCGTAAAGGCGTGCCCTGCGAATTCGTCCTCGTCCCTTTTCGTGACTTGGACGTTTGCCCGGTGTTTTGGATAGATCCCTATGTCCGTGTGTGCCGGACGTTGGGGTTCAACTGTCCGAGAGTTACTTTTTCGGAACCGCCGACCGTGGGAAGCGTGTGGGGCAACGGTCGTTTCTTGGTTCCGCGGTTAGTAACCGTTTGCGTGTGCATCTCTCCGGGGCTAAACTCCACGCCGGTGAAACCACGCATAGTTTCAGGGTCGGACTTTCTAACACCCTTAGCCTGTTGGGTTGTAAATGTCAAGAACCTATAAGTTGCCACGTATGAAGATAAATGAATTACTTTGCATTTTCTTTTATAGCTTAAATGGTAACAATGCGAAAATGGTCGAGTTACGGAGGTACTTAGAAGAAATAAAAGCCAGGTAAGAAACTGTACGATGTGTAGAAAAGTAACAGATTTTAAATAACTGTAAACGTTCTGAATTTGTCATTTTCAGTAAATACCATTCATCTAACATCAGAAAATTACATTTTTTAGGAAAAAAATATACATTGCAAAAGTTTCAGATTCAGTCTATGAACTTGACCTTTTTTCCATAATTAAGTTCTATATTGTGCTATATTTTTTTCTTGTTCTGTAGCTTAGACCAGTATTGTACAGAAAATAACTAAAAATTAATGTCTACATAAAGAGTTAACCCCGATCCGAGGCTAGGAAGTAGCCATTACCTACGGCTTACCCTCGCCTGTTTTAAACTTTGTTACTGTGAAGCTCTCTTGCAAAGCATATACCAGTACTGTCGGACCGATTGTACGAACAGGCTTTTAGTATGAAAGAGATAAATTAAAGTGAAAAAAGAGATTATTTAGGTAGTTAGTGACACCACAGTTTGTCAAATGTATTGTCACATTTTATTTATTTTCATAGAAATGACAAGTTGATTCATGCAATTGAAGCTAAGGATTCACAAATTAAAGAACAGACTGAAAGGTGAGAGTAAACGTTACCCGCGTTTTAATTTTTCAGCGACTTTACATGTAGAGGGTTTCATCTTTTGCCAGCTATATCCACCAAGTCAATACCCTTGCGAAGTCTTAAGACGAAATATTTTGATTTAAGCGTGCGTTAGTATTTTTATGCTACATGTAAAAAAAGACGCCACGGGTTAACCACTGTGGTAGTCATGGACACATGTTTTGTCCTTGTTTGGGCTCAGCGCGGCATATCCTTATTCTTAGGATACACAAGAGGCTAAATGCCCCGCTTATTAGCTCTCCACTGCCAGGGCCAATGCAAATTAAAGCATTCCTTTAAGTGAAATCTCTCAAGTAGCAACTATGGTAGCTGGGAAGTGGAGTAAATGAAAAGCCAAGTTAACTTTATTTTTAATAATAAAGATAATTTTGTAGTGAACAAAATGACAACACCAAGAGGAAAATCCGCAGGTAGCATCGGCTTAAATCTACCCGGATAACGAAACATTACAATATTTACAGTTAAGTTCAATACAAGTCCTCGGAAATTGCATAATTATATGCATTTTTTCTGTGTGGGCAAAGCTTTGTGCAATCCTAAGAAAAATACAATGCCTTTAATTGTCACCAGAGCAGCGTCCTTACGGTTTCCACCGGGTGTTTCGATATTGTATTTTTTTTGTAGCCTAAGTGAAAAAGAAGTGAGGCTGATTGAGCTACAGAACCGCAATCAAGATGCAACATCCAGGTATAAAGCTATGCAATCTTCAGTAAAAGGTCGTAGACTTCATATGCATGTATTAACGTGAATTAAGAGTCTCAAGGGAACATTTATCTCCGGAAATTCTGGTCACACGCAACACACCCTCAAATTTCGCTATGGTAAGAGTGTCTTTAACTACAGTAAAAGTGTTCCTTGTAGTCGCTGCTGTTATGTATTACAAGTGATCCAGTATTGTCAGATCTGGAGTAATTTTAGGTATAAGAACTGGCTTCATTTGTTAGGCCGAACTGGCTCTTGTGCTTTAATGACTAAATTTCAGTTTGAGCTTGTGATTTTTAATTTTCTGTTTCTTACTCGTGGGAGTGTTTCCTTTCCTTCACCATCACTTTTCTAAATTATGTGACATCAGTATAATATATCACTTCCTACCAGGTTTGGGTTTATGCAGTGCATTTTTTTTTTCTTTCATCTTCTTTTTTATTATTATTACTTTTCAGAATCCACCGAATGAAAGAGGAATTGGGTATTTTATCTGTTAAGGATGATGAAATTAAACAACTGAAAAGCAGGTACCGTAAAATAAAAATGATAAATAATAGAGACTGTAGTTGGCTAGGAAAGTGTTACTTGATCCTGTCACATCCCAGTTTGAGCACAACGTGATCTTAAAATCCAGGATAAAACATTTTTTTAGTACTCTCAAGCCTTCAGTTCCACCTTCGAATCTTTATCAAGAGATGGAGTTGGGCGTTGTTGTTGTTGTTTTCTTTTCTTCGTCTTGGTAGTTCGCGGAGAGCTCGTAACCGGCGTCCAGGTTCAATTTTGGAGCCCGATACTTACTCATTCCAAGTCATCTTCGCAACGTTCGTGGCTATGGATGACAGCGGTAGCGGGGGCTGTTGGGCAGGGAGAAAAGAAGAAGACTCTCCCTCCCTTGCCTTCCTCCTAAACCATTTACCCCTCTGTGCCACTAATAGCCGCAGCCCCAATTTGCTTCAAAATTTCTTAAAAGTTGCCCGAAGTTACTGCTCTAAAAAGTTGCTCCTTAAATTAAATCATAATGACGGCAATTTTTCCTTTTTTACAAGACAAATGTCGATGGTAAAGTACTATATAATGCAATTTAAAACCACTGCTTTCTTAACCTTTTTTAAACCAATCTGCGGCCGATGACGTTTTAACAGAGGCAAACCTAACAACTTAAGTCTTCCCTGTAACAATGTCTTTCTCGTAGTCTTTCTTTTGACCATTGTTTGAAAAGACCCTAAATCAGTCAGTGTCATTTGCTTAAAAAGAATGTTGCGAGACGAGAACCCATTATCATCAAGATCTGTCCTCTCTTTTGTTTTCACTACAACGCAACATTACAAAGGCTTCAACGGTTTCCTTAAGTGCATTCTCCTGTTCTGAAAGGTTCAGTTTTTTATTCGAGGTAAAGAAGTGAGAGCTGGACGTTTCTTCCTCTGAACTACTTTGTTTCGATGTTTGTCACCAATATTATTTTAGAAAAACGTGGTCCTTTGTGCGAACCGCTGACGTTAAACCATAAACGTTTTTTAATTGCTATCCATAACATTAAAGAACTAAAATTTTCCCACAAGAATACATAACAAGGCGTAAACGGTATCATAGGACTGTGTAATTCCATGGATAATAGAAAGACTGGATAGGAAACTGGCTGACGCGATCGGTTCCAACATAGTGGGAAAATGTGACGTCACATTATCGACAGCCATTCAACTTCTTACATCCGATGTTTTGCGCGTCTTTTATACTTTTCATCGCATGTTTCATATCTCTGTCTTCGACTATGCAGATTTCTCATGTTTTGAAGTAAAGGATGAAGAGGACTTGCTCTTGGAGAAAACAGTTAGATGGTACAAAACTGGTAGAGGCAAAAGACGGAGTAAATGATTATGAAACTTGTGAGAGCGAAGAATGACTCCAGCCTAACTACATAAAAACTAGGCGAAAACTTACATGTATACAGGTACAAAACACCTATAGAAAAGGCACAGCCTAATTTTCTAGAAACCACAAGAAAACCGGAAATAATTTTTTAATTTTATTAAGGTTTTGACGATTTCTTTTCTGCTTTTATCGACAAGCTCAGGGAGTGTCGAATTTTATAAGTTAACAACCCTTGACAAAATGATTTTATTAGCGGTAAAAGTACCCAGCTCAAACAAGCGTTTAATTTTCCCTTCAATTTTATTTACGGACAACCAGTGACAAGAAGCCGTTTTTGAGAAATGTAAAAAAGGGGGGGAAAGCTCACAGCAGAGAAAGGAAATTTGCTTGCGGACCACCGTTTCTAACTTTTGCAAATCTATTTTCGTAGTGAAGCATGCAAGTTGCTTTGTTATTTTCAGGTATAAATGTACCATGACCCAAGGTACTTTTTAGTCAGGTCTTTGAAAAAGCAAACTGCAACGCTTTTAAAAATGTTTTGTAAAACGGTTAATTGTTAACTACTAGGAATACAACCCTGAAGCATAGTAGAACCTCCACTTCCTTTTCATGAGGAAACACTTGTCTTCCATAAGTCTTATTAAAACTTATAAGTATTTATTATAAATACTGACCTTTTTTTAGGATGAAACAAAGTTTAAGTTTTTGTGTAGTGTTAATAATATTGAAAGGGAATACTGTTAATCACCCCTGAAATAAACATAAACACTGTTCCCAAAGAAAAATAGAAGCTGCTTATATATATGTATATAAAAAACAGTAACATCAGGGGTTATGGGGTTTTTGTTTAGTCTGAGGTAAGTGGATGAGGGATTGAAAAAATATGACTGTCTAGTCACATTATCATGTTGTTGAAAACAAAATTCATACCCCAAACAAGTAAAGGTACCGTGAAATTCGAAAATAAGCCCCTCCATGTACAAGCCCCTCCAAATATAAGCCCCCCCCCCCCCGGGGGACTTGTACTTGGAAAATTGCCCTCAAATGCATAGTAAAACAAAGCAAAAACGGTAAATTCACTTCCAACTATAAGGCTAGCCCAATCGATTTTGAAACGCAAATTTCCCTCCGTAGATAAGCCCCTCCAAAAGTAAGCCTCTCAAACAAAGGGCCTTTGAAAAATATAAGCCCCGGGGCTTATTTTCGGAATTTTACGGTGTGTGTTTTATTAATTTGATTTAGAATATATCTTGTTAAGGTTTATCATCTACAGGTACATTGTTGCTTTGGATCTCTAAAAAACCGAATACAATAATAATGCTAATCAAGTTCATCTTTGGTTTGAAAAACAAGAATGTGATCCAGATATAGACCGTTTCAGAGAAGAACACTAACCAACTTAAACACATGACTCTGTAGCTAATACAAGCGTTGACCCTCAAACACAGTTAATTTGTCCCACTCACAAAGAAGTAATAAATACACTTCAGAAGTGATAAATAAACCTTCTGATCATAAAAAATTTAGATGCCACCTTCTGGCTCTCATGCATGACAAAAGCAACTTTGTTGCATTTTACTACAGAAAGATTGATTGATTTGTGCCCTCTCAGAAGAGTACTTGACCACAATCTACTGTCTTCATTGACTATGTGTGTTCAGCAAATCCTACAATAAAGACAGACAAAAGGAAAAATAAAACACTGTTTAAAAAGTAACAACAACACTTAGGAGCCTAAACGGAGGACAAAAAAATGTCAGTAGGTGTTTTCCCATTGATGCAACAATTATTTATAGCGGAGCTCCACACGCGCGCTTCGCGCGCGCGTGGGCAGAGCCCCATAGCTTGGTAAATCTACCCATCCCAGAAAATTTGGTAATCACGTGACCGTACACCGTCCGCCGACCGACCGTCCGTCCGCACCACAGGACAACCAATGTTTACTCTCACACTTATAGCTAGTTTGGGAGCCCAAGAGAAAACTAATTGCACATCAATGTTGTGATCAATTGACAGCTGTCAAAACAGGGCATCCGCTGACCAGTATCACCTGACCGTAGCGCGGGCTCAAGTGTCGACCCATCGAAGCCGAGTATTTTTTTGAAGTTATCCGCTGACAAATTACCAGTTTGAAATGATCGCAGGCTCAAGTTTATTTTTTCCAAGGATTCATATCAAATATGTTGTGTTTATGTCACTATGGCCCGCACTATTAGGATTTTGATTTCAAACTGACTTCGGAAGCTAAAGTTCAGCCAGTTTTTTTAAAAGTACAGGCGGGGAAGACCTTATCTTACCATGGTCACGCGTTGGTCATGCTCTACGTCCAATTTTTATACTCTGATTGGTCAAAATTTGACAGGTGAGTTCATGCGAAAAAATTATGCAGCATCTTGAAAATTGTTTACTTTGACAGCTGAAGCTGAAGAGTTTTGTGTCAACTTGTGATGTTTTTAACTGTCTTTTTCTTCTTGATGTACAAAATGAAATACAGCTGAGAGTCAAGAGTCTTCTGTTATTCATGGCTGGTTTGTTTACTGGGGTTTTTGGTTGGGGAACGCGTCGCTTGTCAAAATTTGGTAATTCGATTTCGGATGGCATCGTTTTCGTTTTTCACCTTGCTTAATGCGTAAGAGGGTTTAAAAGTCTCAAGCAACTGTGGCCTTCCTCGATAGCTTTCAGGAACTGAATCTCGAATGATAAGCCTGAGTAACTATTGTATTTGATGTTTGTTTTTGTTATATCTAATTTCATGAAGTCTTGCACATTCACGCTGACAGTTTATGCGGCAAGTTTATGCATGTTTGTAGCCGTAGTTTGAGTCAATGATCTGACCTAGTATCAGGTTCGAACGGATTGATATAAGCTTACAGAACTTTAAAAAGCCTTCAGATATATTTGCTCACCACAGATAGAAAGAAAACGTTCCGAAGAATATTTAGTTATAAATTTGGCTGTAGAAAGAAAGCTTTGAGCGATTTTCTTGCTTCGAGGAGTTCACCTTGGAAAATAGTAAACACCCGCGCCGGGAAGCCGGCTTATAAAGCTTCACGCCGAGACTCAGGATTTTTAGAGACACTTTAATACTTGTCTTCATGAATGAAAATTGTTATCTATGTAAATGTTTCACCGAATTATATTTCTTTTTTTGATTGTTAGTAGTCTCTCTTGCAATTTTAATCGCTGGTCTGTGCCGTTTGTTTTCATCGTTCATGAACATCGCTTGCAAGAGTACTCAAAAATGTCGCGCGTATCAAACGCTTTATAAGATTACACATCGTTATAACTGAAACCATTAAATAACAAAAACAATAATAATAATAAATTCGCCATTATGTTGAAGCTTAACTCTATTAAAGTTCATTCAATCACTCGACCATACTGACAGCTCGCACTATAGAAACGAGAACCGGCTGGCCATATGGGTGATTTTGGAAATTTTTGAACGGTTTCGCTTTACGATGGATCGTCCTGAATATTGACTGAGTGCAATTTGTCTTGAAAAATTGTGAAATACTGCATTCTGTCCGAGGTCTGTATGATAAATAGTACTGTTTCACCTCAAATGTGATGTATAAAAATTATAAAAGGTTGCTTTAAACACCCCCAGATTTGTTGGCAAGAATTTGTAAAGTAAACCTGTCGAACGCAAAAAAATTCGGCGTGATTTGTTTTCCAAGAATTTGTTTTCGAGGCCTAATCTACTGTGATCTTGAATGTGATCGAAGATGTTTGCTATTTTTTGGGTGTACATATAAGGTTATCAATTCGATGTAAGATGTTTCACTCTAAAATAACTTAGCCTTTCCCTCAAAAGTCACATGAATGTGCCCTTAAGTTAAATGATTTGTGGATTAAAAGTTTATTTTTTGATTTAAATTATAAATTTATTAATTGGAGCTTCGCTTTTAGCCCTGGCTAAATCTATATATTAGTTTATGTAAGGGAAAAGTACAAAAATTATTCGAGTCTCTTCAGTGTCTTCGAATACAAGCTGCGAGTAGCGACATGAGGCGATTCTATTCACTGGATAGGTAATGCAGTAGTTTAATTTGAACATTAAAAGATGAGCGAAATTAACATACTGCTTTACGAACAATTAGCAGGGTTAATATGGGATATTACTTGAGCGAAACAGTTCTCAACACAAACTAATCTACCTATTGGAACTTTACACACCGTGTGCGTACGCTCGCTCGGTGCCATCTCCGAATGTAGTTAATTTCAGCCATTTTCAATCGAAATTTATGGCTGAAAAATAACAGCATTCAGCCTGTAACTATGGCTATGCCACAATTCCATCCTTAAAACATCTGTCAGTAGTAGTTAAGAATAGAAACAAGAAGAAACCTTCATAACAAAGGCGTCCCAAAAAAGTCGCCAAGTGTACTAAATATGGCTCTGGTAAGGGCAATTTTCTCAAAGACAAGGACAAATAACACAAAACAACAACAAGAAGTGCTTACCTCGAAGATTCAACTGTGGCTTTGAAGGATCGCCATGGCCGTAAGACAACAAACAAAGAGAAAACACACACACCAAAAATTAAAGTACCACTAAAAAATCCGAAAAAATTACAACATGCAGGCAAAGAAACCCTACATCACAGGTGGCCCAAGCGTGATATGAGAGTTTGTATGGGGAGTAACGACATTCAAACTTATATCAAATAGATGAACTAAAAGCGATAAAAGTTATTAATTAAGTGTAAATATTGTTACCTCGTGTCCTTGTGTTTGTTTTTACGAAGTTTCAGCGCGATTTGAGTACTTTCACATCATTTGACCTGACAGTGTAATAATCGAGCGATTCTGTCCTACCTTGTCTCAAACCTACTCAAATCGCGCTGAAACTTGGTAAAAACAAACACAATGACACGAGGTAATAATAGTTACACTTTACTGATAACTTTTATCGCTTTTAGTTAATTTATTTTATCTAAGTTTAAGACTCTTTATTTCCCATACAAATTCTCGTGTTACGCTTGGGCCACCTGTGCCTACATTTCGACAACACCGCGGCAAAACGCACTACGCATGAGCGCAAAATTTTACATCCGGTCAGCTTTTTTATTTCCGGTCCAGTATATAAACTAATTGCGTAAGTAAGCATAACTTTGCCGTCGCGCCAAGTTAAAAGCAAAAAGGGAGGAACAGACCAAAAAGGGGCCGAAAAAAATCACTTCATTCAATAGCTGATATATTTTTCTAGTGTCAAACTTTTGCACCACATGGTTATCTGGTTGCACCAAAGCTGAAGTTTGTAGGTTGCTTGCGCTCGATAAGGCGCCCGAATTTGTTTTTACTGGATTTCTTTCATGCTACTGGTTTGGCATAAGTTATTTTGAGAGAATGCGATAACTAAGAAAATAATCTATAGCAATATTTATGAAAGAAACCAAAATAAAATTAAGACGAATTTGTAAATATCTTATTATCCACTCCCCACAGGGTTTTTCAGGGATAATTTACAACACTGGTTGGGGGACTTTGCCAGACTGCTTAAGGTGCAGTTTACAAGTACTGAAGGAATGACTAATGATGCCCCCATGCATGAGTGTGAAAGTGAGATAGACCACTACACCGGGCACTACGTGCCCTACTCTTTACGAAGAGTGTGTGGGTTCTTTAACGTCCCACAGATTTATTACATGTGCAAGGGCTTGTGAGACGGGGCCTACGGTTCAAAGTCCTTATCCGAGAAGACTAGAAAGTCTAACCATTTGCAGATGTTATTACAAAGGCAGCACTTTCTCCTCAGTTATTTAAAGACCCTGAGTGTTGGTCCGGCCGGGGTTTGAACCTACGGCCTCCCGCTCAGCAGACAGGCGCTCTCCCAACTGAGCTAACCGGGCGGCGGTCAAAAAGACGTCATTATTATCATTAACACTAGAACGGACAAATAAAAGTTTAGTCCGACTCCGTTCAATAATTACTTTATTATCAGAGAAAACAAGAACTCAAAACAAAAGATGGGCGGGATTTAATGACAATCTCGGCTTTGATGACACCAGGCACGAATACCCGGAGCTTTCGGTGCCCAGAAACTAAACATGCCTTAAAACGTACTTTCATTCTAGAAAATGCCTATTTAATTATTTTACATAGTTGTTCTTTGGTTGAAGACTTCAATAATTTCAGACTGTGCGGCTCGGCTGCATCTCATGCAAACACGAAACTTCCAGCTGCTAAATACATGGCATGAAAATTTGGACTTCTAAAAGCCATCGAACTTGCTTTCGCTCCCTGATTCTGAGAATGAAAAAAATAATAATAATAAATAGAGTTGTTAACTTGCTGCCAACCTCAACAGTATGATTAAGCTTATGTTTCATGGGAATAAACTCAGAAGAACTTCATTTCAAAACACGGTAAAACTTACTGGTAAATAAAACTACAAAGCGATAGTGTGTTTTCGTTTTCCAAATAAAACTCGAAGCGGTTTTAAGACATTAAGACTGAGAAATTGAAGAACCGAAAATAAGAACAAGAATTCACAAGCTTGCAATGATCACTTTTTATGTCTTAGTTTCAGCCTGGTCAAGTGAAAAATGGCAGTCAAAAACTTTGTTTTCGTGAAAGAAAATCAGTTTACCTGACGCTCAAATTAGCCAAAATTACACAAGTTATTATCAACGTACCTTTTCTGAATCTAATCGACTAATTGTTTCAGTGATCTGTGCCTGGTTATCCATAAAAGCAATTTCAATATTTACAAAATAGTGAAAAACACCAGCAGCATGAAGTAGAACAACTGAACCACAAGCTTCACACAGAATGAAGCCTAGCGCGCTCGGGAGACTATGATCTGACTTGAAAGTGTGACTGAAAAAGTGACCAGAAGCGCTCAACCTGACGCATGCGTAGACGTTTTGCCGCGGTGTTCATTTCGACTGGTTTGCGCCACATTTTTGACATCGTCTCGTCACAAATTTCCACTATAATGGAATCATCCAACGCCATCTTGGAGCACGAACCAACCAATCGGCTATAAGAAATCAGCCCACGTGACATAAGTTTCCTATCCAGTCTTTGTATTATCCATGGTAATTCCAATAAGTTGCTGAAAATTTAATCAAGTTCCTCCAAAAATCAAACTTGCTCCAAATGCCAAAAGTTGCCGGTAAGTTGCTCCAAATAGCAAAATTTGCCAAAATGTTGCCTTGCAGCTTGTGGCTCCTAGAGGTGAGAAACTGGGGACGAGTCAGAGACCGACAATTAAAATTTCGATGGCCCCCTGACTCAAATTTTACAATTACAATTAATTAAAATTTATATAGCGCAATTTTCCATGTAGCATGTTCAAATGCGCCGGACAATAAGTTATAAAAAATAAAAATGATTAAAAAATTTGCAACTATTAAATTTAAAGACTAAAATGAATAAAAATGTATCAATCTCCCATGCGGGATATATATGATACAGGAGTATGATCAACGGTCTTAGTCATAATAGTGGCTAATGTTAAAAATCCTTGAAATGTTGAAATTAGATAGGCCATTTTTAAATGACTGAGTTGAGGTTGCACTGCGCAACGTTAATGGTAATGAGTTCCATTCGGGGATTATGCGTGAGAAAAAGGAAGACACGTAACAGTTGGTATTTGATTGTAGTCGAAAATATGGCAGATGAGAAGTATGATGTCATGATTGGCGACCACTTGGCAGTAGAGGTGAAGTGGAGATATCGACAAAACCGTGGACAATTTTGTACATAAGCGTCAGGCGGGCTATCGCCCCACGCTCCTCAAGCGACTGCCAACCGATGTTACTAATCATATTCGTTACGCTTGACTCTCCATGCTAGTCTCCACTAACAAAGCAAGCTGCTCGTCGCTGTACCTTCTCAAGTGATAAGATGTCACCCTTCTCGTAAGAATCCGAAATCGGGCTACAGTGGTCAAGCTGCGGTCTTTACAAGGGTCTTATAGGCAATGTTCTTGATATAGGGTGAACATGATTTCAGGTTACGGCGCAGTAAGCTGAGAGTCTTATTCGCTCTGGTGGTAATTGAGTTGATAGGGTGACTCCAGTTTAAGTCGTTAGACAAATCAACTCCCAAATAACTCTGTTTGGCAGATATCTCCAGGGGTGTGTCTTGTAAGTAGTATAAAGTTCCTATAGAGAATGTTTCTTGCGAGACATGTGGATAACGTAAAACTTGGATTTATTAAATTCCATCTGCCATTCGCTCTTCCAGTCACATAAAAGTGAAAGATCTTCTTGTAGTTTAAGGCAGTCATTTGGGGAATTGGTGATTTTGTAGACAAGACAGTCATCTGCAAAGAGTCTCATTTGAGAGTCAATGTTACCATGTATATCGTTGATGAAGATCAGGAATAATAAAATCGTCTTCTCTCTCAAGGTGTCGAGGATAATGTGATATCCAAAGAGTGGCCTGAACGCTTGTGGTGGACAGCCACTGCCGTTGTTGCCTATCTTGTGATCACAACGTGTCTAAAGGTTGGATCTCCTTATTATACCCGGCCAGGAACGCATAAAGGCTCATGGGTCCCATAGTGTCAAACATCGACAGCATTTCACACCCCACGGCTAGGTACTTGGCGGACATCCTGAGTCCAATAGTCGCTAACACACCTCGTCATGTGAAGAACAGCGCAGATGTTGCTTCCAAACGTCGGGACCTATCGGTGACACCGCGGGCCAGAAACTAGTTTCTACGGCAAAAAATAACAACACCACTCGTCAGCATGTTCTACACTGTCATGAAACACACTTAAATTAGCCAATAACAATCCTTTTTAGAATGGGCCAAATGACTTGAATGGTTAAAGTAGACAAAAGCAGTCAAAGCAAAAGCTATTACAAAGTGTAACGAGCTTAAGTTAGCGTTCTGTGAATTTGAACTCGGACGAAAAGTACATTGTTCAATTGATTCCGGCTTAATTGTGTCCAATTAAAATCTAGACGTTTTTAATTTGGCAATTGGAAAACAAACTGCTCAAAGCTTGTTGTTGGGACTTGACAAACTGCTGCGCAGTGTTGAGCTAAGAATGAACAAAAGCCGTGTTCACAGCAGCGATAGTAACACTCTGGCCTCCTTTTCTACACTGCTTGTATCTTCAATCCCTCCTGGATGCTTCTCAGTGGCCTCGTCGTGGGTCATTGGAACATATTCTTGTCCGCTTTCGTCTATCAAGAACTGGAAGCTTTCCTTTGACAGTTCTCGTTGATCTTCGTGGCCTCGGCGACACCAGTACAAGCTAATATGGAGCCAGACATTTCGCAGAAGACCCCAAGGATTGTCTCCCCGGATTACAGTTGATGACTTTAACCTTTTTAGGTCAGCTGCTGTAATTGAAGTTTTGTGTTTAAAGCGTTTTCTTAGTTCTCGCGTTTATTTCGCTTTATCTGACTCTGTAGGAGCTTATTAGACAATTGAAACTCGGTGCCTTTTGTAATAGAAATTCCTCTGTTGAACGGCACATTGTTTTACTACCTTTCAAAATCTAAGGAGGATTCTTTTGTTCGGGCTTCTGCGTAAAATTGGCGGAGTTTGTGGTCAAGTTCTTTGTTTTTGATCTCGTGAGGGTAGTTTTTCGCAACTTTTCTCTCACGACATCACACTATTGGGAGAAAAAACAAAACAAAACCAAAAAAACGAAACAACAACAACAAAAAACAACTTAAAAAAAAAAATTGAATGAAAAAGCCCCTTTTATTTATGCATCGATGATAATTTTCGTAAAATGTTATCTTATTTATAAAATAATGTGAGTCCGCAAACTAAGTATAAACTATTTACTTTCATTAATTGTTTTTGCCGAAAAATGTATCAAACGAGGGTTTCCATATTTAAGGTGTTAAAACTGTATTTATTTTACTTTACAACCAAACACTTACCCTCAAAAACATGGACAGACCCTTTGGTGTTGTCAATGGTATTTTTCTGTTTCTGCTCTCGAGATAAGTTCGTCTATTGAGGCGCTGGACTTGCAAATCTCCCGACCTATCCAATCGAACAAAACCGAACAAAAAACCAATCGAACCCAATCGAACTCCAATCGTTCGATTGGGTTGGGCAATCGAACAAAATCGAACACCTATTTTTCTGTGAGTTCGATTTTCGAACCAATCGAACCAATATAATCGAACAAAATCGAACAAAATCGAACTAATCCAAATGTTTGACCACAAGCGAATCCTAATTGGCCGAAGTTAATTGCCAACTGTTTGGTGGCTTAAATTTAATGAGAATTCCTAAGCGAGTCGGAAAAGTAACTGTTTTCACGAGATTTCCGGTTGAAAGTCGCTAAGCGACTTGAAGAATCGCTCGTGAAAACACGGCCATTTTCTCCTTAAAACCCGGTGAAAACAAAATCCGTTTAGCCTAAGTGCCCGTAAGTGGGATCATAACTCACCATTTCATCCCGTCCTTAAAGGGCCAAAGTGGTGAGACCAACGTCCGCTCAAGATGTCCTAACTGCCCTTTAGTGTTGGTAACCTTGAATGCTCTTCCCTTAGAGCCAATCTTCTTAAATATAAAGAATTCTTCTCCCACATCAACAGTAAAATTACATTCTTGGTAACCTTTTACACTGCATGTAATTTCAATACATGCAGTGTCCTCCCTCTCCTCCGTGTTTGACATTTCAGACATTTCAGTCCTGGGTTTCAGTGCTCAGCAAAAGCCGCGTAAAAAGGGAAGGGAGTTAGCGGTGATTTCACTTTCACCTTCGGAATTTTCCAGTAGCACGTGCCTATCATGCGATGCGGCGTCCGTTAATCGAACGTTCGATTATACCAATCGTTCGGTAATCGAACGTTCGATTGGGTTCGATTGGCAAAATTTTATTGTGAATTCGATTATGTTCGATTGAGTTCACAAATCGAACGATTGGTGTTCGATTGGGTTCGATTGCCGAACTGTTCGATTGGATAGGTCGGGAAATCTTTGTTTGTTTTTGTCACCACTTCGCTCGGTGTTTCCGTTGGTAACTTCGTCGGAAACTCCACTTTCAAAAAACGATCCGCGAGTTGTTCGAACTATCATTGACAGTAAATTCTATATCCATTGAAGCTAACACTTACAGCTCGTTTTCCTTTTCGTCTTCTTGGTCGAAAAAGACGTCTGGGTCAAATGAAAACCCGAGAGAAAAAATCGGGAGTTCGTCTGACATTTTATAAACATAGGCAGATGGCACTACAACTTTTGTTACGTGTTCTATAATGACATAAACTACGCTTTTTAACCAATCAGAGTGCGCGCTATATCTGAACTTTATTATAAATAGAGTCTATCACAGGCATTCAAAATAAGACTTCTTCTTAGTCTTCACTGTCCCTCCTTATTTACAAAATAACTTTCATGCTCACCCTACCTATTAATTGTAATTGTAATTGTTGATATATTAAAGAATCCCTAAGTTTGAAACTTTGTGAGAGTCCCATATGAGCTCTCATACCACTCTTGTGATTGTTGAAGCGTAACCTAAACCTTGTGTTGGTAGAGCCTACGTACTGAAAGCGTCATACTATACAAGAAGGAAAATACACAATATTGCTGGAGTTACAATTAAGCTCGCCGTGATGGAGTGTGTTCTTCCGGTGGTTTTCGATGTGACCGTGCTCCCAGTATGAAGCTGTTTGCCCACCTGACACCGTCTACCCCCCGCACCTTGCTGCCGCAGCTTTCCTCAAGCCTCCATCTCCTTTTCCTACGCGAACCTGTCTTCTTTGCTGATAAAAAAGTGCAAAATCAGGGTTTGCAATTAATTGCTTATTATCTGATCCGCTGTCTGACGATTTAAAATGCCTGATGCGCTTTATGCTAAATATGTGACTATCACATCACATGTACATAACAAGCCCTGATGTCACATACCCCTCATATCCGGAAATTCTCGTCAAGAAATAATTAGCATGACGTTATAGCAAAAGAAATCAGTAGAAATGTACAGAAATGCAAGCTTTAAAACATACTCTGGTATAGAACGTTCAAATATGGTGGCTTCATTTTGCAGGATCGCCTTTCTCGGTGAGAAGCGCGTTAAACAAGATCAGTCCGAATGCGAGGACACCTTAAGCGAGAACAGACAGTCAAAATTAGAGGAGGAATTCTCATCCTTTGTTGACGGAACTAGGATGGATGCATGCGACAGGTTTCGTGAGATATATAAACCTAAGGACCAATTTACTGACGTTCACTGCCAGCGATTGGCCTGTCTTATATTCGAGGTGTGTAGTAATTCGTGTCTCTATATTGACCTCAGTAATTAAAAAAAAAACAATAATGTAGACTCTGTGACTGAAACTTCCATTGAATATAATTGACTGCATGGCATTATGACCCAACGGAGGTGTGTTGGAATCACAGAAACTGATACTGATCCGAGACTCTTGTAATTTTAATCCACCCGAAATATCCAATAGTTTGTCTTCATGTGGCTAAATGAAATTATTGTTACGTGATAAATCTGAGCCAGCTAATAGGCCACTTCCGAGTTCCAAAAACCCTCACTTTCAAAATGAGGCCAAGGGCACAACCTTTCTTGCGGAAATGCGTTTTATTTGCATGAGAATGAAAAATAATTTCCATATCAAAGGCGGAGCACTTAACCTCGTTTTGACACAGAGGCCTGGGGGAACTCGCAAGTGGCCTATTTGCTAAAGATTATAAAAAAGAGTCGAAAGCTACATTGTTTGTATGACTTTATTAACCTTTTTAATCAATGCTTTTTTTTTTTTTACTAAAATTTGTGTTCTAATTGTCAAAACAGGTGTCATATGAACGAATGAATGTAGCAAAAGAAGCCTTAGTTGAGTTCTTTAAAGAAGTATCCAAAGGCTTGATACAAAGCGCTCCAAACATGAGTTTCGAGTTTACTAGGAACGAAAATTTTTTGGTAAGTTTTAGTCATAAACGGTTCTGAGTTCAGCTCAGTTTCGGCAACCGTAAGTAACAACTCTTCTTTGGAAAAAGCATTTTAATTAGAGCTCGCTACTTTAAGAAGAAGGGTGGGGTCTTCGTCGTTTTCGTGGGGCAAGACACCTTATACAAATTAAAAATGCTGCAAATGAACTTTCTTTTAACATAATTAAATCCTTTCAGTTTTCAAGTTCTTGCCACAGTTTCATATAGCTGTCACGTGTTTAGCTACACGGTGTTCATAATTAGAGTTGCTTCAGTTCTTCTATTTCTTTGCTGAGCCCTTTTATTCCTTTCTTACTATTGATTTTATAGAAACAAGGAATTTTCTTTACTTATCCCTTAGGTGAACTCTGACTTAACCAAAAATAGAAACGGCTTCTTTAGTTAAGGGATCTATCGCACATTTTCCAGTGCAAGAATTACTATAATAGTAACGAGAAAGGTTGTTTGGCTGCTTTCCTTAGGCCTGTTCCCAAAGAAAACAATTAGTTCCTTGAAGTCAAATTTTCTATCAGATATTGTGATGCATAATTTATACAGATACTCTTCTTCCGGGCCCGATAAGAAAACAGCTGTAAATGAGCTTACGACGAACACAAAAGTCCGCCCTGGATTTTTCTTATAGGTTTCAGTTCCCTTAGAGAGAAATATTGACCATTAGAAATAATGAATTAAAAGAGCTATCAAACGGTAAAATTAAGAGCCGACAGTTCGGTGATCGGGAAGAATTCTTTTCAAAGCCTACTTTTTGTACTGTGATCAAACTTGTTGCATAATTATTATTTTTTGTTGAACATCAAGACTTTTAGCTTGACGTCTAGCTTTTTTTTGTTTCATTTCAGGTGTGTTTGCGGAATATTTTTTCTTAATTTCCAGCGCCTCTTTCAAAACGTAAATGGCAGAGATATGAATATTTCTGTTTGATGGCGAAGAGTTCATTACATAAAAGAGTGTAATTGCTTTTATTATGACTATATAAGAAACGGAGGCTGGCTTCGCTTTTAGCCCTGGCTAAATCATTTTATTTAGATTGGTTTTGGAACACTAATGTGGGGGCCGTAAAGTCTATAACGTTATTTTTATATACGTTTAAAGAGAAAGATAGACCAGAATAAAAATCATTATTGTCCTTTTCGCGTTTTCAATGATCTTTGTTTTGTTTTATATGAGTTAATATCACTGATTTTTATTCCAGGCCAAAGGAGCGCACAGGTACCCGAAGCCTAATTTTTACGAAGTGCGATTTCCTGTGAGCCTCATGAGGCAGAACTCGAATTACCCAAGAGATGCTGTTGATGCTTTAATGCTAGCTGTAAAAGAAACTGCTCACGACTGCGAACTTGACTGTTTTGTTGAGGTATTTTGTCTTACGCTTAAAACTTTTATCAAAGTTACTGTTAACTCTATTTATACCGGGATTTTTGGTGCTCCCCTAGGGCTACCTGTCCAGGCAAAAAAAAAAAAAAAAGGTCAGCCTGTCACTAATTGCAACGGAAAGGTTTCTTTTAATGGATTTGGTCCAGAAAAAACGTCCTTCGATACATCAAAAGTCGCGGCAATTCCGATTGAGGGAAGTTGACAAAAACAGGTTTTTTTTTACAACCCTATATCTAGACTCGCCTGTAACGTTACATGTAAACGAGGCTGGATGTACTTATTGCCTTGACGTGTGACTGATATACCCCATATCCCACATATACTAACGTAAACGATTAAAGAGTATGTCATATTCCTGTCATTTACACTGTGTAATTAAGGCCAACTACATGTCAATAATAATAAATAACTGTTTTCTTCATTTAGCACAACGTCACAAAATAGGCTTACTCCTTGGTTATGTGGGTGAAGTATTCACCGTATTGCATCCTGTGATAATTCCAGAAACTGTGGTTGCCTAAAAGATGAAATGTAAAATACCTTTTACTTAAAGAAAGGTCATATCGCACTCACCTTTTGATTTCCGTATGTTCCGTATGTAATAGTGTTATGTGCTAACATTTCATTAAAATCTTTTCGTTTATAAGTTTCACTGAGAGCAGCAGGATTGAAAGTAAAGAAAAAAGAAAACAAAAAACAACAACAACAACAACAAATTCTCCTCAGATGTTTTAGGTGTAGTAAAACTGGATTATGTGATAAGAATTTACTTCGGCTTTGATCTCTTCCAACAGGGTAAGGCTTGGTCTTTTAGGCGACGGAATTAGAATTTGTTCTATTTTTACCTCATTTTCCCCATATTTTAACATGAGAAGGCGACATGCAGAGATGTGATCAGAAATGATCGATCAGTGGTGGCCATGTTTTAATGTTAAGAATTGTTCCTTTAACTTAAATTAAACTCTTAATTACCGGTAAATGCCTTTTTCGTAAGCGACGTTTCAATAACTGCTTGTGCGACACTTTGATGATAGCTAAATGTTTTGAAACAGTGTTCTTAATCTTTACAATGGGTTTAATTTCCTGAGGAGACCGAAATTCCACATGTTCGCTTGTATACCTATTTTACCTACTTCCTTCTGCAAGCGCCACAAACTCTGTCGGATTCATTATCGGGCACGTGCAGTTTAGTTCCCATGGGCAGGCTTAATATAAAAATTGAACCTTTGTAAATACGCACTGACCGAGAATGCGATCTTCATTAAGGTTGCTTGAACTTATATTGTTGAACCGTTACAAGCATCGCTATCCCTTCCACCTTTACTTCCCTTAATTTAACCCTAGAACGTACAAGGGGGGTTGTCATGAGGTTTTTATGAGTTTATTCCTAGACGATAAAACGTTAGCACCTGACGTTTTCAGTAGCTGTTCGTTTATCCCTCACGCGTATTTTGAGACAAATTTAGGATGATGCTAATGGGGGTACCCAATTCTTCGTTAGCTGCTAATTTTTCGGCCAAATATCGGTTAACTACTATTTTTTGGGACCAATTTTCAGTTAATTACTAATTTTGGTTAGCTATTAACTTTCACTTTCCTACAGCGAATATTATTCCGTCATAACCCGAATTTTCTATACTTCAGCACGTCAATCACGTTTGGGGGTAGGCCCTACAAAAATCAGGGTATAAATGAATATAAATTCACACAAACTCCGCCACTAGTACAATTTATAAGAAACTAAAATAAACAAAAGAACATAATTATCTAACCGAAGTAGTAAAAATGGGTAAGCGATAGCTATAAAAACACCTGTCAACCAATTTTTGCTGTAAGTACAAAATAGAGTTAGTCGTATAACCATCAACACAATGCTAATTGGAATTAGGCTACTCAGGTTCCTAAACAGGTTCTTATTTTTAAAAATAAGATAAGGTTTTTGTCATTGATGGGTGTGGTCTAGTTTGGGCCTTTTGTTGGTATTGCATGCATAATATGTTATAATATATAGATTTAGCCAGGGCTAAAAGCGAGGTTCCCATAAATAAATTTATAATTTAAATCAAACAATAACCTTGTATTCCACAATTCAGTCAACTTTAGAGCACATTGATGTGACGTTTGAGGAAAAGGTTAAATGATTTTAGCGAAAAATAATTTGCAAACAGCCAAGAGTGAACCAAATCTTACAACGAGTTGATAGCCTCATATGTACACCTAAAAACTGGCAATCATCTTCCCTCGCATTCAAAAGCCATAATGGCTCTTAATCACCGTAGATTAATTGGGTCTGGAAAAAAACAGTCAAGCTGAATTTTTTGCGTTCGACAAGTTTACTTTACAAAATCTTTCCAATAAATCTGAGTACGTGTAAACCAACCTTTTAATACCATTTCTACATCACACCTGAGGTGAAACAGTACTATGAGGCTCTGTTTTTGTCATACAGACCTCGGACAGAATGCAGTATTTCCCAATTTTGCTATACAGATTGCTCTCATTCAATATTCAGGACGATCGAAGCATGCGTGAGTTTTTAGCTAATGACACCTTTAAAAAAAATTCCAAAATCACCTGTACGGCCATCCGGTTCTCACTTTTGCAGTGCGAGATGTGGTTGAGTGTTTGAATGAGCATTAATAGACTTACGCTCCAACATAATAAAGAATTTATTATCAATGTTTATTTTTCAATGGTTTTAGCGATATGTAATCTTCAAAAGCGTTTGATACGCGTGGCATTTTGAGTACTCCTGAAAGCAATGAACGACTGAAAACAAACGGCACAGCGATTACAATTACAAGAGAGACTACTAAAAATCAACAAAAGAAGTATAATTCGGTGAAACATATACAGAGACAACAATTTTCATTCACGGAGACAAGTATTAATAAAAGTCAGTGTCTCTAAAAATCTTGAGTCTTTAAGCTTAAAGCTTAAGTTTACTGATGTTTTAAGTCCGCTTCCCGGTGTTTGCTTTTTTCAAAGATGATTTCTAGGCAAGAAAATCGCTCAAATCTTTTTTGTACAGCCAGAATTATAACTAATTATCCTTTGGAACGTTTTCTTTCTATTTGCGGCGAGAAAATGTCTAAAGGCTTTGTAAAGTTCTGTAAACTTATATCAAACCTGATACTCGGTCAGATCGTTGTCTCGAACCTTACAAACTTGCGTAAACTAAATAGCCACCTAAACTACGCTCGACTTCTTTAAATTTGATATAAAAACAAACATCAAATACAATAATTACTCAGGCTTACCATTCGAGATGCAGCTCCTGGAAGGTATCAGGTAAAGCAAGTATCGCTTCAGACTTTTCAACCCTCTTACGCATCAAGCAAGGTGAAAAACGAAAACAATGCCATCCGAAATCGGATTTGCGACTTTGACAAGTGAAGTATTTCTCAACCAAAAATCCAATAAACAAACTAGCCATGAATAACAGGAGACTCCTGACAGCAGCTGAATTTCATTTTGTACATCCAGTGGAAAAAGACAGTTAAAAACATTACAAAGAGTTGACACAAAACTCTGTCAGCTTCAGCTGTTAAAGTAAAGAAGATTTAAGATGCTGCATAAATTTTCCGCATGAACTCACCGGTCAAATTTTGACCAATCCGAGCATAAAAATTGGACCGGAGCGTGACCAACGCGTGACCATGGTGAGCAAAGTCAAAAGCAACTGCCTTGCCTGTAATAGCTGGCTGAATTTTTGTGTCCGAGGTCAGTTTGAAATCAAAATTTAATTGTGCGGCACATAAACATATTTCATATCAATTTAAAAACAAATCAAACTTGAGCCTGCGATCATTTGAAAACAAGTAACTTGTCAGCGGATAACTTCAAAAAATACATGACCTCGATAGGTCGACACCTGAGCCCGCGAGACGGTCAAGTCGCACTGGTCAGCGGATACCCTGTTTTGACAGCTGTCAATTGATCACAACATTGTTGTCCAATTTGTGTGCATTATCAGTTTTCCTGTGCTCCCAAACTAGCAAGAAAGTATGAGATTGAAGTGACAAACTTGAAGGACACTGTTTTCAACAGAATTAGGAGAATCCAATCTAGGAACTTACCGTCTAACCTCGACACTCGAGTACCAGACCTACCACCGTCACCGACGAGCAGAATGTTATCAACGCCTGGTCAGCGAGAGTTTCTCCCTCGAGTTCCTGTCCCTGGAAACAACCACCTTGGCCTGGGTGGAAAACCCCTTTACAAGTAGGTGGTGAAACGTAACGCCACAAATCCGCCGCCACTGAACATTAAAACTGTATTAAATTTACTAAACCTTTATGAAACAATGCGTCAAAACTAAGGTATTTACAGTTAATTACTTTATTTTACATATATCAACATATTATACTATTATTATTTATTATATTATATTATTATTATTATTTTTTTATTTTATTTATTCTTTTTTTGAAAGCTTTGATCTCCTCTGTTTTGAGCGTACACCCCCTCATGATACACCGATTTGGAAATGTGTTTCAGCGGTTGCCGTTCGCCTTTAAGTGCAAGTCGTAAATCAATACTTAGTCTTAGCTGCTGAAACGTTCATGGGTTAACTGATCGTTTAAGATTTGGGAACAAATTAACAAACGAAGAATTCATCAGTCATATAAATAAACATGACATTGTAATTAGCTGAATCTTGGATGAAAGATAACGTGCAAATTCCTGGCTTTAACACTTTTTCAAACGCAGCCCAAAAAACTTACAAAAAGAAAACTGGAAGACTTTCAGGGGGTTTAGTCCTAGGGTACAAAAATTATTTACGAAATGGCATTTCATTTGTTAAATCACATAATAATTGTATCTGGTTTAAACTAAATCACAAGTTTTTTAATTTAGAACAAGATGTTTATCTATGTGCCCTCTATATTCCTCCCGACGACTCACCGTATTTTGACCCATAATTATTCTCTAACATTGAAACAGATATAGCTTTATTTCACAGAAAAGGTTTAATTGTGTTAGCCGGTGACTTTAATGCTGCGCTAGAACTGGTAAAGAAAATGATTTTATCACGGATGAAAGTGGCAAGTTTATACCTTCTGGCGGAGACATTCCTCCACCACCCAATCTCACTAAAAGACAGAACTTTGATAACATTATTGTCAACGATCATGAAAAACAATTACTTGATCTTTGTAAAACCTGTGATCCAAGGATTCTAAACGGCCGATCTAAGGGAGATACCCTAGGAAAATTCACATTTCTCTCTATTAATGGAATAAGTACTGTAGATTATATTATCGTTAGCCATACCCTGTTCACTTCGGTTCAAGGTTTCGCCGTAAAGCAACCAAACATATTTCCAGATCACTCTCAAATTGTCTGCTGGATCAAAACTGGTACAGACCTCTCAAATAATAATATAGTAGAGCGCATATGTGCTTGAATTGTTCACTTTCTGTTAGAAGCATGAAATTTGGCATGATGATAGTTTTCAAGGCCCTACAAAAGATATGATATGGTGCCATCGCCAAAAAGTCCGTTAAGTGCGAAAAATAGGAGTTTTAAAATGGCGGCCATTTTGAACCGGAAGTGAAATGGACAGTTTCTTTAAAACGTCTGAATTTTAACAACTTGGATAAAAAATGTCAGCAAATGCCTAAGGCAGTTGTTTTTTCATACAAAAAAAAAAATCATTTCAACGCAAATTGTCTACAAAAAAAAAAAAAAAACACAAATGCCAAAGGCAGTTGTTTTTTAATAAAAAAAAAAAAATAATTTCAACGCAAATTGTCTACAAAAAAAAAAAAGAATAGAAAAGATATGTAAGTGGCCACCAGCTAGACCTGAAGTAAAACTACCAAAGATTAAACTTCTGTTGTGCCTGCTGGTTTTCTTTACTTTAATATTTACTAAAATGGATACACTCACTAAACTATTTTCATCGTGTATAACCCATTACTAAAATTAAGCTTACTTTGGCTATGATACAGAATACCGAAGAATTAACCGGTGATGTCTCGGTGACGTAATGACTTCATACTTCATGCAGACGAGTGTTTATAATCGAAAAAGAGTTTCGGATTGCCCTTCATGTTTGTCACTATTCTGGGCACTTGCACAGAGTTATGCACCACAGGCTGATGTTGCGAAAGGCACAGCCTCCTCCAACAGCCTATCTTACAAGCGTACTTCAATAGTTCCACGTTCAACTTTGTAATTGCTGACAGTGGTATGCAGGGGAGTCACCACCCTCTGCTTAGAGATATCCAGCCCCAATCTTGCAGACTAGGAACCGATATGCTTGGTACCAGTGCCTGACGCCATATGTGGCAGCATGGTTTGCCGTGCCCTTGACATCTTTAAGTAATGCAGGCGGCGTCGTTGACAGTAAAGAACTACTTTTTCTATCACGTACAAGGAGGTGTATGCGCTCAGGAGTTGACACAAACCACTCCGACTCTTGACTTTGAAATATACCCTGAGTGGCTACTATTCTTGTTATACTAGTTCTGGCTCGATATGAAGTACTTAAAGCTCATAAAGAGGATACAATCAAACCCCGCTAATATGGACACTAAGGGAGCCATAGAAAGTGTCCGTACTAACGGGGTGTCCGTATTAAGTGGGTGCCTGTCACCGGCGGGGCTCGACTGTATTCCTTTCTCAGTCCAATCTTGCTTAAGGCAACGGTTGCTTACCATTATACGGGCAAAACAGTCGGTTCACAGTTTGGGTAAATGGTAAGTAAAATTCAGAACTGGCAAATTTCGTCCCAGAATCGCGTTTATCATTGGTAGGAAATCAGTTCCATTTACCAAAAAACGACCACGAACTGAAACCAGTGTCAAAGATGGCTTTGAAGAAATAGAACACGAATTTCCTTTTGGAATATTCCGTCCGAATACAGGACTACCTTTTCAGATGTTACGTTGCTCCCGGAAAGTTTCCACTGGAACGACCAAGAAATTCGCGTTCCAATTACTCTACAAACAGATTTCCCGGAAACGTTTTGTAAATGCTAGCTTAAGTTTTCGTATGTTTGGCCTTTCCTTTGCTCAAAAATGTGAATCACTGTTTCACATTTTTTTAAAATGCACTAAATGAAATGCTTTAGTGAGTTGCATTTTCCATTTTATCCCGCTTTTACTTGCGGTTTTCTCATTTAAAGCGCCATTTTTGTAACACAGTTGATTTTTTATACGATATAAATATCTGGAAAAACATATAACAAAAATTTCGTCGTCATTTTGACCTTAACATGCTAAATTTCGTGTACTTTCGGTTGGATGATATTTACTTCCAGTCAAAATGGCGGCCAGTTTAGTAATCACTCCAAAAACCGATTTAACAGGAAAAATTTTCGATGGCACATATATCACATATTAATAGTCATGATTAGTTCTGTCATTCCAGAAAATTTGGTGCTTTTAACAAAAAGTGAACAATTCGGCCCCGAATCTACACATATCCGCCCCACTAATAACTGTTTTCAAGAGAAAAACAAAAGTAAGCTTCCACAACCTTATGCCTGGGACGAAACGTCTGCAGCAAAATTCACTGCTGCCTTTCGTTTCAATGATATTCTGTCTTTATTACATCTCTTCGAAAGTACAAACTTCGATTTAAGCAGAACAGATGTTGAAAATGCTACCAATCAATTCACAAATATTATGACTGAGGCAGCAAAACGTTCACTCAAATTAAGTAACCAAAAGAAATCTAAAAGAAACCCAATTACTAAGAAGTGCTTTGATTATGATTGCAAAACCTAAAGATCTTCACTTAAAAAGTTTTCTAACAAAAAACACCGCAATCCTCTGGATATCGAACTCAGAAAAGAATATCATGTTCAAAATAAAACCTTTAAAAAACTTATAAAACACAAAAAAAACAGCAATTTGTTGACTCTAAAGTAAATGAGCTGATTAGTAACGAAAATGACCGCAAATTTTGCGATACTCTAAAGTCAATGACGAAAACAACTTGTCTTGTAATAATAACGAAAACCCGACCAATAAACTTTAATATCATTTTAAAACGCTACACTCAGCACCTGATCCTTATACATTATCTGCATTTCAAATACACATGTTACACGATAAAAAGCGTTTGGAGGACAGCAACCAAATGAAGAGATTGATAAAGCAATTAAAAAACTCAAAAACAAGAAGGCCGCTGGACTTGATGGAATACGCAATGAAATGATTAAAACAAGCTCAAGCTTTATAAAATATCCACTTGAGAAACTTTTTAACCTGATTCCGCAATCTGGAACATTTCCTACATCATGGAGTAATGGAATAATCACTGCCTTGCATAAATCTGGAAACAAAGATGACCCTTCAAATTACAGAGGTATTTGCATAGATAATTGTCTCGGCAAAATCTTTTGTTCTATTTTAAGTACGAGATTATTAAACTTTTCAAACAATCATAAAATACTTCATCGCTCCCAAATTGGCTTCTGCCCGGACATCGTGCGTCTGAGCATATCTTTACTTTAGGAACGTTAATAGACCAACATGTTACCCACTCTCCCAGAGGTAAACTTTATACTTGTTTTGTTGATTTTAAAAGGGCATTTGACTCAATTTGGCACCAAGGTTTACTATACAAACTTTTGAAATATAACATAGGAGGCACCTTTTACAAAATAATTTCCAGCATGTATTCTCGTTCAATATGTTGTGTGAAAGACAATTATACTCGATCAGAACTTTTCAACTATGTTAAAGGTGTACGACAAGGTTGTACTCTATCGCCGCTTCTATTTAACTTTTATCTAAACGAACTACCCTTCATTCTAAATAACAATGCTAAAGATTCTATCTTACTACCAGATGGTTCTCACTTAAACTGTCTACTTTATGCCGATGATTTACTTCTAATATCTACCTCGGCAGAAGGTTTGCAACAAAGTCTTGACAGACTATCAAATAATGTCAGATAAGATTAATCCAACTAAAACCAAACTTGTTGTATTTCAGAAGAAAAGTAGAAAATCAGTAATAGATAAACACAATTTTATGGTTAGCAATGAAAACATTGAAATCGTCAATAATTATACCTATCTTGGAGTGAAATTTTCTGCCAATGGAAATTTTACAAATCACAGGGAAAACTTAGCAGAAAAAACAAAGAGATCCTTTTTTTGCCGCTCGTCGTTATCTAAATTTTCTAAAATTACAAATTCACATCATCAGCAAACTGTTCAATACACTATTTTCCCCAGTTTTAACGTATTGCTCTGAAGTTTGGGGAATCTATGATAAAAGCGATTATAGCCGGTGGGATAAAGACTCGATTGAGAAAACGCATATACATTTTTGTAAGATGTGTTTAGGTTTAAACAAACGTTCACCGAATGTTGCATCGAGAAATGAACTTGGTAGATTATCTCTAAATTTACAAATAACAATGAACATTTTCAAGTTTTGGATTCACCTTGAAAATCAACCCCCTGACAGCATCGCTAAACTCTTCTTAAACATATCGGGAAAAATGGCCGAAGAAAACAAATCAGGTCTAATAAATAAAATAAATCTTTTGAGTACACAATTTAATATTCATAAACAATCAGTTAACTTTAAAAACCCTTCTACTTTCCTATCCAAAGCTGAGAATAATTTGTCAAAACATCTGATAAACCACCAGCTAAACTTGATAAGAACAAATAAAAAAATAAAATTCTACTCCATCTTTTAAAATGAAACAAATCACTCTGAATTCATCAATCATATCGGGAATCCTGAACAAAGGCGTGTAGCTTCCAAATTTAGGATAGGAAATCATAATTTAAAAATAGAAACTTGAAGATTTACAATCCCCAAAACTCCTCAAGACCTTAGAATCTGTGATCATTGCAACCAAAATTCGGTTGAAAATGAACTGCACATATTATTTCACTGTGATCAACACAATGATTTGAGAAAGACTCTTTTTATTAAAATCAACGACCAAACATTATTTACAAATTACAATATCCATGATAAAGTCTGTTTTCTTTTTAACAATACTGATTCACGTATCAGCAGGCTAGATGCTAATTTCATCTTTCAAGCATTTAAAAGACGAAAGAAACATAGTTAATTCTACCGTTCCATCATATCTTCATTTCCTTAAATTTAGCTGTTTATTATTGTTATTTTAATCGGTAACACCTGTACAAAATGGTAATACTGAATAAACTTGTTGTTGTTGTTGAACATTGATCGCGATCTAGTAAAACAACTGGTCAGCGGACAGCTTACAAATAAATCACGTCACGTCGATGAGTTGACACATGAGCCCGCGATATGGTCATCTGATACTGGTCAGTGGCTATCCTGTTTTGACAGCTGTCAATTGACCATATTGTGAATGTCCAATGCACAGATGTGGATTTACCAATACACGCCTGAGACACCCCTCCTTTCCTTTTTATAGTCTCCCTTCCCCACCCGTACAATCTGTAGACGAGTACGTACGTACGTACGTACGTAGCTCGGTCAATCACGTGACAACCAAACGAAAAGAGGTTGGCCCCGCTACAAATTCCCTGAATCCAAGCAGGTTAAAGCGTTGTCAGGGTTTTATCTTCATTCTACTAACTCGTAGAGCTTGTTTTATTAAATTTGCGTATTCAGTGTTTGACTGAGTTTCTCAACATAAGAACCTGTTTCAAAATTGTAGGCTAGAACAGGTTCTTCTGTAAAAGGGGTCTAAATGGACAATCTTAGCCTAACAGGTTATTAAAATCTAGGTTCTTATACGCCGATTCTTACTGTATGACACCAGCCTCATAGTTCCAGACGCACTAGTCATGATCTCGTACTGATCCTTCCTACCTGGTCATGCATGTCCCGCCAAATACTACTTCAATGTCATCTTCTTCGCCACTTTGATTTTCTGAATCAGTCTCGTACTTATCTGGTTGCTGAATGTCCTGTATCTTTCTGTTGGCCTAAGTTTCAATCCATTTTCAATCCTTGCAATCGCCCATCCGTTGCAACGGACGACAGGAAACAATATCAATGCCAAAATATCGTTGTAAAAAACAAAACTGGGCCAAGTCAATTATTACCAAAAAAAGTTTTAACTTTTTATCACAACTTCATCTTCTTTTGTCACTGCTTGCACCGATGGGAGAGACAGTTGAGAGAGCTGACAAAGGTATGAAAGTATTTGACACGGAACAACTGTACTTTTCGTGAGTGTAGCGCACTTCGAATTCGTAGTTCTTTTAAGAGATTCCTTCACTGTGGTTCCAAAGTCTTGGGCGCAGTTCAAAGCACTAAATGTTTTGTGTTGAAGTGAGAAACCGCGTGTAGGGTTTCCACCTGCGTTGTCAGAAGTTTTTTGTACCTTGATACAGACTTTGTCGACATTCTCTTTTGCGTCCCTCAATGTTATCTCTTTCAGGCACGTATTTCAAAAGCGTCATAAAGGTATCCAAAGGTTTTAAGAGATGAAACTGTTTCAGAAAGACGGGGCTTAATAGTCTCAATAGTTACAACCACAACATAGTTACAAAAATGATTTCTCGTAAGTATAAATTCCATGTAAAGAAAGATGCCGATTTCTTTGAGCCATTGGAATTTCTTTTTGGCCAGATCCAATGCCAAGACTCACAGCTATTTTTGTTTGGGTAGTAACGTTTAACTTGACGAGCTCTTAGGTCCGTGACAACAGTATTTTCATTTTCCAAACACAGAAATATTGTTAATATTAGAAGACGAATTATTCGTTGAGTTGTTTACAACCACCTCTATGACTGACGCTTTCCGTTTGCCAGGCACTGCCCTGGTGCCTTTTGCTAGTAGCAATATCAGTTAATGTGCCACCAGGTCTAAAGCGAGACAGAAAAAAAGTCAGAAAACAGCATTTCTGTTTGCAAAACTGTGTTGCTTTCATTAACATCAACGATAGTACTCAGCATAATCAATAGAATTTCACTTAACTGTTAACTTTTCATTTTTCAGATAACTACTGTTTTTGTTTGGGACAAATATCAGTTAACTGCCAACCCCATTGGCACCCTCGTTTAGTGATGGTCAGTTGCTATGGTTACGAGATAGTGTGTGTACTGCTAGCTGCGAGTCGCCAAGGTTTCAAATACTGCACATGGTTTATTTCGTCCAAAATGTACAGAAATACAGAAGATATAAAGAATTCGAAATCTACGTAGAGATATTAACAGGAACTACAATCAGTCAAGAAATGTTAGAACAAACCGTAAATAAGAATAATATTCACGCACCCGTTGGTGTCTCTCAAATTTCGCAACTAGTAGTAATGATCTTACTAATCAACGATTGTTACCTCATGTCATTAGTCGTGATTATATCACGCATGAATTTCGTGTTATACCGAAACACTCCCCCGCCACTCGAAAAGGAAAGTTACATTAAAAATACAAAATGTATTTCAAGTCCAGTTTCACGTAGAGTATTTCAATTTCAGAAAAATTAGTGGTAGTTAAATTTTTTGTGTCTTTATCTTCTTCCTTTGGTATCAAAACAACCAATTTGTTTACTGCTCGTTCAACGGTAACGAAACCTCTGCCATGGTACTCGTTGACAGCTTCTCCTGGTTTTGGATTTTTGTACTGCACTTGAACTTTCCTTACTCTACCATCTCCTCCAGGAAAGGCTTTAAGCACAGTCCCAAGCTTCCATTGTCCCCTTATCTGGTTTGCGTCTTGGATAAGCACTACATCGCCTTCACGAAGATTTCGCTGTGCAGTGTGCCACTTTGGCTGAATAAGTAAACTTGGAAAGTAATCTCTGGTCCACTTCTTCCAGAAATAGCTCACGATACTTTGAACGAATTCAAATCTACGGCGGAAATCTGAAGTCTCTCTAAAGGGTCCGCTTGGTACTCTTGATGTCGCTCTTCCTAGCAATAAATCATTGGGACAGAGGTACGTTCCATCATGAGGTGAGGTAGGGTGTCTTCCGATTGGTCTTTCATTTACAAGATTTGCCGCTTCAAAGCAAACAGTTTGCAGTTCGGAAAATGTCAAAACATGATCACTGATTGCTGCTGTTATTGCTCGTTTTATGGATTTGACCAAAGCTTCAGAAACTCCGTTTTGCCATGGTGCATCAGCTGGCGCAAAATCCCATTTGAATCCTTCCATCACGCCAAATGTTTTGAGTTCCTCTTGGTTCCAACCCTTAACTACATTTTTTAGTTCTTCGTTTGCGGCGACCAGTTGAGGGCCATTGTCTGAATAAAGTTTGGAGGGGAAACCTCTAATTGATACAAATCTTCTGAGGACCATGAGAAATTTTTCAGTGCTGTAATCCGCGGCTAGATCTACGTGAACGGCACGGGTAGCCAAGCAGTTAAATATCACACCATATGTCTTCCCAATAGTTCTTTTCTTCACCTCGTCTTTAATTTTGAACGGACCAAAGAGATCGATAGCTGTGCAGCTCCATGCAGGTGATGGCTTCAGTCTTTCCACCGGTAACTTTCCCATAATCTGTTCGCTTAATCTCTTGTCTAATTTCTTGCATATCACGCAGTTGTATCGGATGGATTTCACCATTTTCAATAGTTTAATTATCCAGAACTTCGTGCGTATTTTACTGGACGTGGAGAGTACACCGAGATGTCCTTGTCTGTGGATATGTTCAGCATAGAGACGGGAAAATCTATGATCATAGGGCAACAGGATTACTTCATTTTTATTGTGACTCATCTCAATCCATCTTTCACCTCGTCCTCCAACCATGTATATTCCTTGCTCATTTTTTCTAGGGCATAGACGTTTGTATTTCCCTTTTTTAATGTCTGCGTGCATATTTCTTTGTGCTTCCATAATCCAGAAATGTTCCGCCTTTGTTACATCAAGAGGGATGAGTGGTTTTACTGCGTTTTTGAATGAAGGTTTTGGTGTTCTTTGGTACAGTAATAATACACGGGCTGTCACTCTTAATAGTTTGTCAAAATTTGAGTATCTTTCTATGTTAAGTCTCGAGGCAAGTGTGTCTGTATTATTGATTTGGCAGGTCTGCGTTATATTGTACGCTACTTTGACTTGGTCAGGAAGTTGTTCTTTGGTCAAAGCTTTGTTAATTGGCCATTCACTTTCGGGTAATTCAAGAAAATCGGGTCCCCTTTGCCAAATACTTTCTGAGTTTAGGTCATTTGGTTTTTTGCCGCGAGTTAGCCAGTCTGCGATGTTGTTTTTGCTTTCTGTCCAATACCAATCATCAGGGTTGGTGTTCTGTTGTATCTCCCCTACTCGGGTTGCTGCAAAGGTATTAAATCCATATGATTCCTTTTGAATCATGTTGTGTACTATTTGAGAGTCCACGATGTGATAACACTTCTGAAGCTTATATCTGCAATGTCGTTCTAGAAATGCTTTCAGTCTTGAGTTTAATACAGCCCCACAGAGTTCGATTCTGTCAATTGATAATCTTTTTATTGGCGCGAGTCGGTTTTTTGATAGTATAAGTCTGCATTTGAATTGTCCGTTGTTGAGCTTCCATCTGTAATATGCACATGCCCCATATGCATGGCTGGATCCGTCGCTAAAGATAATTAATATTGGATCATCTATCGCATTCTCTGGCATTAAACATCGTTTGAATTTAACGTCGTTCATCTCCAGTAGATCTTGGCAGAATTGTTTCCAGTCTCGAGTGTACTTGTCCGGAATAGGGTCGTCCCAGTTAAGCTTCTCGTCCATTCCCCATAACTGTCTCAGTAGAATCTTTGCCCTGACTGTGAAAGGTCCAGCTAATCCGAGAGGATCATAAATGCTGTTTACTTGGGATAAAATTATTCTTTTGGTAGGATTATCCGCATCGATTTCTCCCAGCTTATTTGCATTTGATTGGATACGGGACTTCTTTTTTCCTTTAGCAGTGGTTCTCAACTGAACTTTATACTCGAAGTCGTCTTTAATGGGGTTCCAAACAACTCCTAACACTTTTTCTGTTTGTGATGACACGTCAGTAGGTATTGTCAAGGTCTTGGAGGGTTCTTTACTATCATGGGTGAAGATCCACTCTTTCATTTTAAAACTTCCTTCGTTAAGTAAACTTTCAATATCTTGGGTGAGGTTCTTCGCTTGTTCTTTATCAGCCACACTCTCTATTACGTCGTCCATATAAGTGTTTTCCTCGATTACTTTCGCAGCTTTAGGATATTTGTGTTGTCCCATTTCAGCTGGTTTTCGTAATGCAACAGTGGCGATCGTACCTGATGGTTTATCGCCGAACGAAACTCGTTGTATAACGTACGTATCTGGTGGTCGTTTAATGTTCATGTCTCTCCATAAAAATCTATGAGTGTGTTGGTCAATTGTCTTTGTCTTTACTGTGTGGTACATTTTCTTTATGTCACCAATCAGTGCTATCTTATTTTCTCTGAATCTTATGAGTATTCCCAAGAGGTCGTTGAGAAGGTGCGGTCCTTTCGCCCAGTAGTCGTTTAGGGCATGTCCCATGTAGCGTGCACTACTATTGAATACAATTCTTACTGGCGTCGATTTGGAATCTGGTTTCAAGACTTCATGGTGCGAGATATAGTGAATTGGTCCTTTATATTCTTTTAACTCTTTAAGGGTTAGTTTTCTTGCGACCTCTCTATCAACCATATCTTCAATTTGTTTTTGATAGACTTCAGCGTGTGTGGCATTTTTCGCTAGTCTTTTTTCTGTCGATATCAACATTCCCATTGCCGCTTTTTTGTTATCGGGTAACTCTGACGGATCTCTGATCCACGGATATTCTGAAATCCACCTCTTCTCTTCCTCGTTGTATTCTAGTTTGTCCTCGATTAGTTTTAGTTCTTTTTCTTCCTTGATTGTGAAGTTTTTACTTCCCAGTGAGCACTTCCCGCATTTACATCCACCACAGCGAGGTCTACATTCTATTCCAAGGTTTTCTATATTATAGAAATCTTCAATTCTGGCGATTGCGGTATTAACTTTTATTTGGTGGAGTTGGTGGCTTGTGGATTTCTCTCTTATAGTCGGGTGTGTGCCGCCAATGCATCTCCCAAAGCGATTTCTTAATAATACAAGATGTCCTGAGCTCTGTTCATTCTGGGGGTGATAGCTTGCATATTCGTAACCGATTAATACGTCGACTGTTCCTGATGGTCGTAATATGTCTTCTTTGGAGATGTTATTGAATAATGGGATTATTCCATCTATGTCCACACTTTGTATTTCAGAAGTAATTTTATCGATACCATATACATCGACTTGAACTTCTTGACCTTGTTTGTCAAATAGAGAAAGTTTGTATCTGTTAGATGTGATTTTTTCATTGTTGCCGCCTACTTTAGTTACAGATAGCTCCACTTTTGTTCCTTTCAAATGTTCAGCTCTTGCTTTGCTGTTTGTGATAAAACAGAGTGATGCTCCACTGTCCCAGAGGACGTTGGCCCATCCGTGCTTTGTAGGAATTTTTTGTAATTGTAATAGACAAGAATCAATCATGGAATTGCTGCATAGGCTAGCTGATCCAGAGGCATCCTCAGTAGGTTTATCAAGTTGATCATCTTGGTGAAGTGTCTTATGGTGCCATTTGGTGCACTCGTTTACGCCGCATCGTTTTTTCTTTCTACATTTTAAGGATCTGTGTCCTTTTCGTAAACATGACCAACAAGCTCCATTTTCTTTCAATAGTTTCATTTTTTCTTCAATGGGTTTTGACAGATATAGTTTACAGTCGCTTGTCCAGTGATCTGCTTCTTTGTGTAGTAGACACTTACTGTAAGATTGATAAGTGTGTCCGCTGCTGCCTTCTTCTGTCTTTTTGCTTGTATTGGTATAGTGTACTGAGCCCTTTACTGTCGGATTGTTGGTAACTCGTAGCTCTGCGATGTCGTATTCGATGGCTCTTTTCTGGCTGAGGAGAAAGCTAAGGAGACTTGGAAATTTGTTGGTTTTGTCTACTGTACTGTTGTCTGCGCTGACCAGTTTGGCCCATTCTTTTCTTATTTCAGGAGGCAGTTTTCTCTCGATTATGCTTACTGAGCTGGTTGTAGTGATCTCTCTTTCCAATCCAAGTTTCTTTAGGTCGTTGTATCCGTCCTCTACTGCGTCAACAAGTTCTATGAATTTTTTATTCTCACCTTCTTTGATGGGTCTTACGTTCTGTATTGTATTGATAATAGCGTCAGCAACTTTAGCTGGGTCTCCATATTTCTCATCTAGTCGTTTCCACATCTCCTGGATGTCGTCATCTATGCTTTTCACTGTGTCATTCGCTTCCTTTCCCAGGCAAGATCGTAGAATGTAGCACGCGCTTTCTTTATTCACCGTAGGCATGACTTGTTTCTGAAAGTCCTGCTTGAATTGAGGATATTGTCTTATTGTTCCGTCAAAAAATGGCATCTTGACTTTCTCCAAGCGAAGAGGGGAGCTTTGTTTAGTTTTCTTTTCGTCCTCTATCGTAGCAGTGAAAGTTTCAATTCTTTCAATTGTTTCGTTATAGCGCGTTTGAATTTTTCGAATCCATTCGATTTCATTTTCGGCAGATGTTCCATTCGATATCTCGAGCATTTTAGCGTGCGCGCTCTTGCAGTCTGTCAGTGCGAGTTCTATATCCTTTTCAGTTTTGCGCAAAGCCATCATTGTGTTTTTGCTCTCCACATCTGATTCAATTATGTTTTTAACATGTTCAATTAAAGATTCAAAGATTGCTTCCGTGGATTTTTTCTTCGTAATTGTCTGTTGAACAATCCTTTGAAACTCTTCCTCTCTTAGTGTAATTATATGTTGGCGGTTCAATTCTTCTTGTTCCTTCAGTTCAAGAGCTTTTCTTTCATTGTCATACTTAATATATACCGTCGATGCTTCGTTGTATTCTTCTTGTAATTCTTCAATCCATTTTTCATTTGCTGTAATTTCTTCCTCGTTGAGGTACATTAGGTAAATATCGTGCTTACCTTCAACAGTAGACCAAGCATCGGTAAGCTCGTCAAATTTTCTTTTCAAAATCTCAGTACCTTTTTTCTCGGCTATTGCTTTGAAGAATTCATTCTTTTTTCGTGTAAATCTTGTTTTTGCGCTTCTGCGTATCTTTAGGGCGTCTTCTGCCATCTTCGTCCTATGATTTCGCATGTACTGCTAGCTGCGAGTCGCCAAGGTTTCAAATACTGCACATGGTTTATTTCGTCCAAAATGTGCAGAAATACAGAAGATATAAAGAATTCGAAATCTACGTAGAGATATTAACAGGAACTACAATCAGTCAAGAAATGTTAGAACAAACCGTAAATAAGAATAATATTCACGTACCCGTTGGTGTCTCTCAAGTTTCGCAACTAGTAGTAATGATCTTACTAATCAACGATTGTTACGTCATGTCATTAGTCGTGATTATATCACGCATGAATTTCGCGAAACAATGTGAATGGGGTTAACCGACTAGCGACAAAGGGCGAAAAATATTAATGACTACCGACAAAACGAGAAAAAAATACCGACTACCGACATGGACCAAGATTATCGATATTTGTTTTCAGAAAAAAGTCCATTTCAAGCCGTTATTAATAAGAAGAACCTCTTTAAATTTATGACCCATCAGGTGGTCCAACGGAACGAATTTCCTCTTTTATTGATACAGTTACATTGCTACAACCAATATCAAAATCACAGAAGTCACACCTTCAAGACACTACCGACTTTATACATTTTATTGAAAAGATAAAGGTCAAAAAACCGAACGTAGTTGAACGTTTTGTTTCGGTTGGAGAAGTGCTTAGATTAATCCACAAAGAAAATTCTTTCCAGTGTAATGGAAAGCACTATCAGTACAAACTCACGGTACCGCGATAAGCACAAAGACAGCAGTTTCCTTTCCCAACACTTTCATAACATTTATTGAAACGCAAAGTTTAACCAAAGCCTTCTTTAAACCAACTTTTTGAAAACGCTACATAAATGAAATTTTTTTGCCAGACATCGTAGTTTTGTTCGAATAAGTAAGCTTACATCACCCTACTACGAAATTCACGGTCGAAATATCTGACACTGGGAGACAATCTTTTTAGACACGGTTGTATACCAAGACACAACATTCAACGAAAAAGCTCTCCTTGATGTAAAGATGCATTTTTAAACGGAAACCTTCCAGTATATACATTTTCACCTCGTGTCACCCACCAAGTGTTAAAATGGATTTGTCAAAGGAAAAGCCTTGAGAATCCTACGAAGAAACTCCTCTGAAAGTTTGAGGAAGTATTTCAGATTTCAAAAAATGCTTGATGGACAGAGGCCACACAATTTTGAAAGCAAAATTGCTATCAGAAGTAAAACTCACAGAAAGGAGGGCCGCTCTCCTGATACAAAAAAAAAAAAAAAAGAAAAAAAGAAAAAAAAAAAAAAAGGAAGAAAGATAAATATTGCCTTTCGTGACACATTACCAGCCCTTGGTGTCCACTATATAAGAAGCTTTAATGAAAAAGTGGAATCTTATGCAAGCCAGCCACTACTTTGCCAAATTTTTAAAGAACCACCAATTATTTCCTTGAGAAAGGAAAAAAATTACGGCAAAGGGCATGCTTGTTATAGCCAACATATTTTAATATTTTGGCTATAAGATGTGCAGCCTGTCACCCGGCCCCTTGCAGTTTTTCACTAAAAATAATTTAAGTATACAAAAAGGCTAGAGTGGGTGTTTTCCTCTGTGTCTATTAATTAATTACTCTTTACTGTACCCTGTAGTCAATAGGGAAGTCCAGTTCGCGTTTGCAATAAAAGCTTTAGTGATTTTAACAGCACTAAATTGGCAAACAAAGGTTAACTAAACGATCATGTTGCCGGCCGGGACAAACAAAATGAAGTTTAAGTGCAATAAAAAATAATGTATTCTTACAAGTTTTACTCTTTTTTTTAGGGATCAAAGTCTTGAAACTGGGTGAAATACATAACAAATATTAATCAAGCGTTTAACTGACCATCAGTTATCAAGCGTTTTTACATACCGTATTTATTGAGATTTACCGACAACTGACAAAGATCGAAACTTTTAACCGACTACCGACAAAGTAACTGAATTTTAAACGACAACTGACAAGTGGATCCCCTACCTCCCCCGTTCAGACCCTCTTACGAGATAGGACGTCATAAGCATCAGGTGGTCAAGCCTTTTTTGAGTGAAAATGAATGTTTTTTTAACCTCCTTCAACAATAGAAATAAAGCTTGTGGATAAAATGATCCGAAGTACTTATCTTATGTGTTATTTTACATGTTAAGCACTAAAAAACTACTAATTCTCGCGGTTTTTTACCTGATTTCTAATTTAGTAAAATCCAAGATGGCGGCCAAGATGGCAACCATGTTTGGTGACGTCACAGTCCTCCAGCAGCGCCACCACCCATAAAATATACCTCATCTTAATTGTTAAGAAGATCAAAGGCTTTCCACTGAAGGCAAAATCGTTTCGAGATACTCTAACATATCAAAACCTCTCGGGAGGGTTCCATCAACTCCAGCTTGTACCACGATGGGGGTATGACTTGCGACGTCCAAGGGTTAAACTGCTGCATAAAATTTCAATTAAACACTCGATATGTTCATGTATATTCTCAGGTCGTTTCTTCTAGAGGATCAAAAAGTCACATCTGAATTGCGTTGCCCAAGGTACTATCCTCTTGAATGCATTCAATCAATTTAAAGTAAAATATCTTCTTGCTCCTGCAGGACGTAAAAGCCATCATCCAACAAAAATGGGACTCGTGGAGATCTAAGGATAAAGCGGTTACGATAAACTACTATATATTATATACCTTCCGTTATGGCCAAGTTTTGGATGATCCTAAAGTCGTTTGGTACATCAGGGAATGTATCAAGATTGTGTGGCGCATGATAACCCAGGTTCCAGCTATGAAAATTGAGTACCAATCAACTCAGCTAAGATACTTCCATACACAAAAGGGCTGTTACAGAGGGATGCCCTCCAAAGGTGGAGACCCCAAGGAAGAGATTGCGTACTATCTGTGGCCTGCACTTTTTGATGGTGGGAATAGGTTGGTCCGTAAAGCAGAGGTGCTCTGCAAGACCGCTTAAAACTTCATTGGAGAGAAATGTACTGTGTTAACTTCCTAGGTTTTCGAGTGTAGAACTGAGTAATATTGACACCAATGCCACTCATTGTTAGTGATCTTTGTATGCTTCGTTATCATTGCGCTAGGCCAAAGCTTATAGGCTTGATACAATACAGGGCACGACTAATGCCTCTTTTTCATTTTGCAAAAATACCTCTCTTTTAATAGTGATTCGTGTTCTGTTTTAATTAACTACTTTGTTTTACCTACATGACCTAGAGGCACCCGCTAGATATAAAATTTCTTGGATACTGGAAAAACGCAGCTGTGTAAAAGAATAGCTTAACCCTCTAACGGGATAAATTTCATAATACGCTGATATATAAATTAAAAAGAGAAAAAAATGTGCCTACTAGCTACAAATATAATATCTGCTCGAAACAACTTAAAATTTATCGTAATAAAATAATGAAACATAAAGATTTATTATTTGTTGGCTACGCCAGTGAGGTGAAAGAATACAAACCTATGCTTTCACTGCTTTATATTTCTAAGGTGTTCAAGGAAGGTAAGTAAACTTGATTCATGAACGAAATATTATTGTTCACGCTTAGACATACATGTATAATTAAACACATAAGAATGTAAACGTTTATTCATTAGCCAAAAGAGCAAATAATGTAGCCATAGAAAGACAATAAACGTTTGCAAATCGGATATTCTAGTTCCGATTCCATTTTGTTGTGTAATCTACTCAAGTATGTATTGGTTTCTGTTTTTGTTGCAATAAAATCCTGATATACTTAAATGCGCCTAACTGGTCCACATATATACATGTAAATTCAAACATTTATAAAATCTTTCATTCACAACAGTCAGTTATATTTTAAATGTGGTGGTCCAAAAATACTTGGCGATATGTTTTGCCTTCTCGGAGGCAGCCTTCTTATTTGATACCCAGATCTCTTTGCTGTGCACAAGTTGGTGGTCTTGTGCACTTTTTATCTGGATCAAATCGAGGTATTCGACCGTTTATTAAGATAATTTAGAAACGGGACTGCCTGATAAAACTGATGATTTCAAAACGAAGCTAAATGGGACCAACTCAAAATTTTAATATGATATGAGATCCCGCTAATTCCTCAGGAAAAGGCTCATGTAATCTGACTCTTGAGAGTAACAACTCTTTCTTGGTATTCAGGATATCTTTAAAGGTTTATTTTGGGTAATTATTATGGAAAAAGTCTAGCGTGGTTTGCGCTCTGTTCCCACTAGTAACATCGCGCGCTATCGCCGTTATTTCTGTCCCCCCAAAGAACATGCTGACCTCCAATTCTCTGTCCAATCCTCTCCAAGTCTCAGGAGACAGAAGCACGACACTTCCAATCCTACTAACTCCTTCCTCTGTCACCATAAGGGTGTTAGGGTTGCTTGAGGCGTAAAATGAGTATTTGATTTTCTTTTCATTTGGATACAGTGGTCGATACATTGCTCGTATTCTCTGCCCAAGTTGAACTACTTCGTTTTCTTTTACAAAGCAGTTAAAGACATCGCTGCACATCTCTTTTCCATTGGCTATGAACTTACTTTCTTCGGGATGAACGCCTTTGACAAAATCCCTACAGCAGTCAACGCCATAGGTCTTGCTTACCACTCTCTGGGTTATTTTGGTCGGCCTTTTGCCAAAGATTACTGCTCCCTGGACAACAGCTATGCCAGCATCATTAGGAATAACCACACGACACCTCCTGAAAATAATCCTATTATTAATAACCAAACATTCTTAACTAACACAATTCCAGTTAACAAGCGTCTATTGAGGTTACAAGAATATAATGCGTGGTAGGTCTCAAATTTCGAAAGAATTGATCACAAGTGCAGCAAGGGTCACAATTGCATTAAGGGTCGAACGGTAGTAAATAAATAAGTTACAGTTATTACAGTGTCGTGTTTACTCAGTGTGCAAAGAGCTTATGTCAATTTCTAAGTCATTGCAGACTCGTCTTTCAACTCGCCTGTTAAAATCACATAGAGTTCTAATAAATGTTCTCTTAGAGACACTAGAAGAGATAATGATTTTTTTTCCATAACTCGAAAGTTACTTTGTCTTATCTCTCAGGTGCATAAAATTTGGGTGGGTATTTTGTTGAATTTCTTGAATTTTCTTTTAATAGCTCTTCTGATCAATATTTATGCCAATCTATCGACTCCTTTGCCTATCGTCACCTGTTCTGCCATGTTATATACCCGAATTTTCCTGTGTTTAATGTCCTGGTCTTTGATATTCTCTTACTTTTGCTTTCCATAATATATAGATTTAGCCAGGGCTAAAAGCGAAGCTCCCGTTAATAAATTCATAATTTAAATCAAACAATAAACTTGTAATCCACAGATCAGGGCACATTCATTTGACTTTTGAGGCAAAGGCTAAGTGGTTTTAGAGAAAAATAACTTGACAGTCCAAGAGTGAAACAAATTTTACATCGAGTTATTAAATAGTCTTATTTGTACACCCAAAAATATCAATCATGTTCGATCACAGTAAATTAGGCCTGGAAAACAAATAGACCTATTGGTGTATTGTATTTGCGTTAGCTGTTGCATCATAAAGTGGCATTCACCAGTCTCTCCAACATTGCTCCGTTAGAGAGACTATGGAGAATTGGACAACCCCGAAATATAAACACGCGCCACGATAGTCCTTGGTGGCAGCTAATTTACAAGTTGCATTCCTCTGTCTAAAAGAGAGGCCAAAATAAAAAATCAGGCCGGATTTTTTGTATTCGACAAGCTTAGGTTACTAGTAAATCTTGGCGACGAATCTGGTGGCGTGTAAAGCAGCCTTTTAAACATAGTTTTTCTCATCACGTCTCAGGTAAACAGTACTATGAGGCCCTTTTCTATCATACAGACCTCGGACAGAATTTGTTCTTTTTTGCCCTATTTAAACCTATAATTCTGCAGTTTTTCACAATTTTGCAAGAGAATTTGCACTCATTCAATATCCACGACGATCAAAGCACGCGCTTCCTTTGCACAACAAATTATAGCATTGAATTATAAAACGTTTTCATGAAGAGAACTCTATAATGCCGGGACTTTTCGGTTAGAAAAATCTGGTCCTATGTGATATGCAGGGTAATAATTATGGGCTTTTAATGAAAACGATAAAAAAAAAATCACTTTTCGGTGAGCCGGACGGGTTCTCACTTTTCACAGGCACCAAATTTGCAGTGCGATTAATAGAGTTACCATTTACGCTTCAACATGATCTAGAAATTGTTATGTTTAAGTTTTATTTCCCTTTATTTATTAAACTGTGTATGGTGTTGTTATCTGTAATCTTTAAAAGCGAGTGACATTTTCGTGCGGCGTTTTGAGTATTCCTGCATGCGATGTTTACGTTCGACTGGAAACGACCGGTGCAGCGATAAAAATTGCGAGAGGGACTACTAACAATCGATGAAATAAATATAATTCGGTGAAACATGTACAGAGACAATAATTTTCATTCACGAAGAGAAGTATTGAGAGTAAAGTGTCTCTGAAAATCATGAGTCAGGTAAGTATAAGCTTATTTATGTTTTAAGCGGGCTTCCCGGTGTTTGCTCTTTTTCAAGATGAACTCGAGTCAAGAAAATCGCTCAGAGCTTTCTGTTTACAGTCAAAATCATAACTAAATAATCTTCGGAACCTTTTCTTTGAATTTGCGATCAAAAAATGTCTAAAGGCTTTTTAAACCTGATACTATTGTAGGTTATGCACCTACCCTCTGTTTAATGCTGGCGATACCCAAATCTTTGCCTCTGGTACAGTGACGGAGTTGTTCTTGCTAATAATATTTAAATTCTATTCTAGAAAACCCTTGTGACTGGCTCACAGTTAGGGGCCTTCGACATACCTTATTACAAGAAATTTTCGTGCAATTAAAGTGATTCAAAATATAAGATTTTCGCAAAATCGCTAAATAAAAGTGTCGCGAAATATGCCCACATCAAAATCGCGAAATAAACACGTCGCGAAAATTTCACGTAATAAGGTATTCACTTTTACCCCGGTTAACGTCAGCTGGACTTGTGGTGGCGGGGGGAGGGGGGGGGCGGCGGGAGGGGTAGGGGATAAGGCAGTGGACGTTAGGGGGCCAGGCGGTGTGCGTCACCAGATTCGATCAATTAGAATGCGTCATTTGTAGAGTGATTTTCGCACTTGGAAAGGGCCGTTTTCAGAAGTATATGTATAGGTAATAGCATGATTTTTAGTGATATTTGGCATAAATACCACGAGTGATATTTCGAAATTGTTATACGTAATTTCACGAGCCGTTAGGCGAGTGAAATTTGAGACAATTTTGAAATATCACTAGTGGTATTTATCACAAATATCACTAAAAATCATGCTATTACGTGATACTATTATTACTATTATTGCGTGCAGTGTGTGCTATGTGTATGCAAATCCTCATGTAAATTTACACGACGGACTAAATCTCAACCAAAACACAAAACCATTATCGAAGATCTAGACAACATCATACAAGATTTTAAAACTGTGAGGTTAGGTTTATAACAAAATCGATATACTCCGCTCACTTCATTGAACGTACAGACAAGATTTTGGTTTATTTCTGCAGCCGTAGCTTCGGTGAAATTCCAGGCATTTTGTGCTGTAGCTGTTCCGGCGCCTACTTTTGGTCTGTTTTTCCCTTGTCTACAGAAGATTTATTTGCTTATAAGGATTACAAACAGTAATTTTTTGCAAAATAATATAAAATTTTCAACGAGAGAAAAAAAACAACAATAACAAAGGAGGCAATTTTTGTTGGAAGAAAACTTTGTAGCGGCAGTGACAAAATGAGCAATGCTAGCGGCCACCAATGCAAGGTGAAAATGAGCAGCAGTGAAAAAAGAAGTGAACGAGAACACGTACGCCGACATTTCCTCCCAAAAACGTGCAACAAAGAATGTACAAAAAAAGTGTGCTGCACGTGCAAAGTTGCTTTTTTGCTAATTAAACCTATTGATG